TCGTGTCTGGTACTCTCCTTTCCTCCAAGTGGGTCAAACTCAGAGCTACGGTGCGAGCACTCGCGCTCTTGTGTGCATTGCTGTGCTTGTGTCTCCCATCCAGGGGCCCCTGTCATCCCTTAATTAGGACCAGATGTGCAGGGGCTGGCTCTTTGCACTGCACATGAATCCCCCCTTGAAGCAGCGCTACAGCTCCCCCAAACCTGCTCTTTGCACTGTCTGTTTCATGCCAGAGTCTCACTGCTCATTGCTCATCTGCTTTGATATCCCTGCCAGTGAGTTAATGAGTCAACCCCCTGCCCTCCCAGAGCTCCCCTGTCTCTCACAGGGAATTGGCAAGGAGAGAGTGGCTGCTAATGCATCCTCCTGTCTCACAGGTGTTTGCAGAGTGCAAGTATGAACCCATAGCAACTCTCAGCACCAACGTGCCGATCCTGTCCTGCGGAGGCCTGGCCAAGCGTTGGCTGGTCCCAGGCTGGAGGATGGGATGGATCCTGGTTAATGATCGGAGAGACATCTTTGGGAATGAGGTGAGGAACATTGTCTGGTGAAGAGAAGGCGGCATGTGTGCATGAAGCAACAGGCAGGTGCAGGAGGGCATGTACGTGTGAGCCTGCAAGGGAGCCCAATTGCCAACTTTCACGCGGTAAATAAGCACCCCAATTTTCACAGTAGCCAAAAATCAAGCTAATCCCATTTCAAAACAAGGCTCAAACAAGCCAATCCCTAAGAACCCCAACACTCTATGTGACGAGATCCCCCCGGCGTGCAGTCTGGGACTGGGCCCGCTGGGCCCCCCTGACGCTCTCCCCCCTGGCCCCTGCTTGCCAGGAGCCGATCAATAAAAAGAAGCAACAAGCTGCAAGCCAAACAAGCAACTCTTAAGCCAAAAAACAAGCCTAATTTCTGTGATTTTTTTCGCGGGTTTTGCATGCCACTTCGGAGTTGTTTTGCTTTCCTCTCTCAGGCAGGCCCTGTTTCCCCTACAGGAATAACACAAAGTCGTGCTGCCCCCTTGTGGTCCCTGTATGCTCTAATGTGGTTTCTCCTTATTGGTGGGAACAAGATAGCAGGTGGTGGTGCAGCCTGAGCTTTGGCTCTTTAGTTATCATTCATTGATTTGTGGCCTGGTGATACCCCATAGAGCTGGGAGCTTTCCACACATCTGGGGCACCTGAGCACTCCCAAAGGACAGCAGAGGGAGAGGGCAGTGTTGATATCATCTGTCCCCAGCTGGCCATGATGCAGTATCCAGTGGTGATTAAACAGAATAGAAATGAGCAGAGTGAGCCAAAGACTGCGTCACAACAGAGACTGGTTTGCAAAGGCTCTGGTTTGGGTTTGCTTCAGGCGAGTCCCAGCCCTTTGGTGTTGGTGCGTTTGGTTGGGAAGCCCTGACACTTGTGTGCACAGTTCAGTCAAATCCACAGTCAATGACAATGGATTCTCAGGCACAAGGATTCTGAGATTCTGGGGGTGGTTGTGTACCAGCCTCAGCCCTAGACTACTTCAGAGAAGCCTAGGAGCTACTCTAGCATATCAGATGCGCTGTGGTAACAGGAAACTCCAGCTAGTGAGCTCTGGCTGCTTCCTGACCCCTTTGTACCATAAGAGTGGTGTGAAAGGACTGGATCCTAGCTAAGGATTGGGACCAGCTCTGGCCCTCAAACACAGCTAGTGATACTGGGGCCTTCATAGATAGTCTGCAGACACCTGCGATACAGACCCCAGATAATGGGACTGGCTCCGGAATGCTTTGCAAAGTTTGAAAAACACCCCTTGTCCAATTGTGGGCGTGTTTGATCCTATGAACAGCTAGAAATGCTGGCATCAGGGTGGGAGCATTTTCCTTTCCTTCATGAGTGTGCGACCTTTGAGGTCAGAGTGTCACCTGTGTTTCAGATCAGGGATGGCCTTGTAAGCTTGAGTCAAAGGATCCTGGGACCCTGCACAATTGTCCAGGGGGCACTGGAACACATCATCCACCGAACACCCCCAGAGTTTTACCACAACACCCTCAGCTTCCTCAAGGTATGTCCCCCTGAGAGACAGGTATTTAGAGTGAGAGGGGACCAGCAGCATTCATCAGCAGGTCAAACAGGACTATGAATCATCACAGTGGTGTCTCGCTAGGGACCTCATCTTCCCATGTCCACTCTCTCCCAGCAGGAGGCGCTGGAGGGAGCAGGGCAGGAGTGCTGATAGGGGGGAGCTCCTGACTACTGCTGTCCTGACCTCTCCCAGCAGGGGGTGCTGCCAGGAGGGGGAGGAGTGCCAGCTGTGGGGATCTCTTGACAATCATAGCACTGCCAGCCAGGAGGCACTGTAGGAAGAAATGCTGGGGGTGGGGTGGGGGGTGTCCACACTGATTTGCTGAGGTCAGCTCAGTCACCTCGACTGCACTCAAGGCCGTTAACATCTGTCCTGTTTGCATTAGATGCCCCTTTATTTGCAGTGGGGGACCTGTCTTGGGTTCTGGCCAAGAATTTGTCTCCAATTTGCTGAGCTGTTTCCTGGAATGTCCTGAGCCCTGAACTCTCTCCTCTCTGCCTTTCAGTCCAATGCTGACCTTTGCTACGTTGCCCTGTCTGCCGTCTCTGGACTCCAGCCTGTCCGGCCCTCGGGGGCCATGTACCTCATGGTAAGTGAGGCGCTAATGTGCCATTTTCAGAGCATTGCTGTTTGCTCAGTGTGTGCTGGGTCCTGTTGCCCTGCCCAGTGTCTGCCTTGTCTGCTTAAAATGTGAGTTGTTCAGGGACGGGCCTGTCTCTTACTGTGTCTGGGCAGCGCCCGGCACAGTGGGGCCCCATTCTTCAGAGAATCGTAGAGTGTAAGGCCAGGGGGGACCACTGTGTCATTTAGTCTGACCTCCTGTGTAGCACAGCCCAGAGAATTCCACCCAGCTACCCCTCTGGTGAGCCCAGTAACTTGTGTCTGGCTAAAGCAAATTGTCCAGAAAGGCACTGGTCTGGAGTTGAAGACATCAAGAGATGGAGGATCACTACTTCCCTTGGCTGTTTGGTCCAATGGTTGGTCGCCCTCTCAGTTAAAAAACATTGTGCCTTATTTCTAATTTGAATGTGTCCGGCTTTAACTTCCAGCCGCTGATTCTCATTATTCTTTTGACTGCAAGAAGATTCAAGAGCCCTTTAGTACCTGTTATTTTCTCCCTGTGAAGATACTGGTGTACTGTAAACAAGTAATCTCGCAATCTTCTTTATGAGAAGCTAAACAGACCAACCACTTTATGTCTCTCACTGTAAAACATTTTCTCCAGCCCTTGAATCATTTTTATGGCTCTTGTCTGCACCCTCTCCAGTTTTTCAGTATCCTTTTAAAAAGGTGGGCACGAGAACTGCTTCACGGTATTCTAGCATCAGTCTCACCAATGCCACATACAGAGATAAAATCACCTCCCTTCTGTTCACTTATTTATACACCCAAGAAGTGCATTGGCCCTTTTTGCTGCAGCATCTCACTGGGAGCTCATGTTGAGTTGTTTGTCCACTGTCCCCTCTAAATCCTGTACAGAGTTATTGCTTTCCAGAATATGGTCCCCCACTCTGCAGGCATGGTGTGCATTCCATGGCATTCTTTATATTTGGCTTTATTAAAACTTATTTTGTTTGAATGGGCCCAGTTTACCAAGCAATCCAGATCACTCTGCATGACTTCCCTGTCCGCAGCATTGTTTACCACTCCACTTATCTTTTGTGCCATCTTTATATTTACTGCCAGATCATTGATGAAAATGTTGAATAGTGTCAGGTCTAGTACTGATCCTTGGAGAACCCACTAGCAATACCCACGCTCAGTGACCGTTCCCCAGGGACAACTATTTTTTTAGTTCTGTTGGTTAGCCAGTTCTTAATCCGTTTATCGTGTGCTTATTCTTTATAGATATTGCTAATTTTTTAATCAGTGTCATGTGGTACTAAATCAAACACTTAACAAAAGTCTAAGTAGCTATACAGTTACTTTTTCAATCAAACTTTTAATCTCATGAAATAATGAAATCAGGTTTGCTTGACAAGACGTATTTTCCATAAAAACCACATTGACTGTCATTAATTATATTCCTATTCTTTAATTCTTTGTCAACTGAATCATCTTTACCATTATTTTGAGTGGGATGTTTATAGTTGCCCGAGTCATCCCATTTGCCCTTTTTTGAAAATTGACACAACATGAACACTCTTCCAGTCTTCTGGAATTTCCCTAGTACTGCACGATTAATTAAAAATGAACCAGCAGGCCAAAGATCTGCTCAGCCAGCACTTTTAGGGCTCTTAGGTACAAATTATCCAGGTCTGCTGTTCTTAAAATGTTCTATCTCTAGTAGATGCTGTTTAACATCCTCTTTTGTTACTAGTAGACTGGAAAGTAGCTCATTATCCTCAGGTAATATGAGTACATGATCATTCTCATTTCCAAATATAGAACAAATATCTATTAAATACCCTTGCGTTTTCTACATCATTATTAACAGTTTTACCATCTCCCTCTAATAATGGGCTTATACCATTGTTAGAATTTCTTTTGTTCATAAAAAAAATCCTCCTTATTCTCCTTACGTCTGCCAGCCATGAATGTCCCTTGATATCTTTAGCTTCCCTTATCAATTTTCTGTACTTCATCACTTCTAATTTATATCAATTGCTATCTATTTTTACCTTTTTCCATTTGTTATATATTGCCTTTTTATTTCTGATTGCTGACTTTATTTTGCCGCTGGCTTTTGGCCAAAGTTTTCTTCTTTCTTGATTGTGAATTCATGGCTTTTTGCCATCTAGTAAAGTCTTCTTAAACAACTGTGAATTTTCATTCACATTTTTCTGTGTAAATTTCACTCATAATTTCCCTCAGCCCCGTTGAAGCACCAAATATATATATTATTGGTCAGAACCTTCCTCTCTTTGCCCATAATGAATATAATTAGGTCATGATTGCTGGTCTCTAGGTAACACCCAACTTCCAGTTCAGTGAACAGTCCACCATTATCCATCACAATAAGGTCCAGAATAGAGTTACCTCCTGCTGGCTGCAGTCCCTTTGTGTTAGAAAATCAGCATTGAAATGTTTTACAAACTCTAATGGAGTTTTACTCCTGGCTGTAGGAGACCTCTAGCATGTCTTCTCAACTGAAGTCCCCCATCACAACCATTTTTCTTTCCACATATTACAGACAAGTATTTAAGAAGTGACTCAACCTGTTCTCTGATCGGTAACAGATCCCCACCACTCCCCCCTCCTGGGCATTGACAGCACATTGATCCATGCGCATTGAAGAGCTGGTGGTTCTGTGCTATCAGTAACTCTAAAACAGGTTATGGTCTCTTTAATGGAGTCACCCTCCCCTCTGTACTTCCTCTCCTTCCTTGACAGGCCCTCCCACCTTGTCAGTAACAATAGTGGGGAGTATCAGGGGGTAGCCGTGTTAGTCTGTATCCACAAAAACAATGAGGAGTCTGGTGGCACCTTAAAGACTAACAGATTTATTTGGGCAGAAGGTTTCGTGGGTAAAAACCCTCACTTCTTCAGATACATGGAGTGAAAATTACAGATGCAGGCATTATATAATGACACGTGAAGAGAAGGGAGTTACCTCACAAGTGGAGAACCAGTGTTGACAGGGCCAATTGGATCAGGGTGGATGTAGTCCACTCCCAATAATAGATGAGTAGGTGTCAATTCCAGGAGAGGCAAAGTTGCTTTTGTAGTGAGCCAGCCACTCCCAGTCCCTAGTCAAGCCCAAATTAATGGTGTTAAATTTGCAAATGAATTTTAGTTTTGCTGTTTCTCTTTGAAGTCTGTTTCTGAAGTTTTTTTATTCAAGTATGGCTACTTTTAAATCTTTTATAGAATGTCCAGGGAGATTGAAGTGTTCTCCTACTGACTATTGTATGTTACCATTCCTAATGTCCGATTTGCATCCATTTATTCTTCTATGTTGGAAGGAGGGTCTGGGGGGCACAGGGCTGTATAGATTTCGCGGGGGAGGAGGGATGCAGGGGGCACGGGACTGTATAGGCTGCTGGGAAAGATGGATGCAGGGGACACGGGGTTGTAGAGGGGTGGGTAGGATGGGTGCGGGGGGCACAGGGATGTATAGGCTGCGGAGGGAGGAGGGATGCAGGGGGCACGGGGCTGTATAGACTGCGGGGGGAGGAGGGATGCAGGGGGCATGGGTGTTGTAGGGGGTGGGAAGGAGGGGTACGGGGTGCACAGGGCTGTATAGGGGTGTGGAGGAGTGGTGCAGGGGCATGGGGCTGTATATGCTGTGGGGAGGGGAGGAGGGATGCGGGGGAATGGGG